CCCCGGGTGTGATGGAACGGGTCACGTGACAGGACTTTATCCCCACCACCGCAGTCTGTCAGGCTGCCCACACAAAGATCGGATCCCTCCAGAGAGTGAGTCAACATAAAACTACAGACACATCTTTTGATTGTGTGATAATCTGCAGCAGAAAAGACAAAACACTGTACTTTAAACATCTAGTATTGTGCATGTCCCTTCCTAAACCTCTCATCTCTTGATGCTAGTAGAATTTGTTTTTTGGGGTCAAGAAGTCTTTTCCTTTTCGCTGACTTGTTCCTTTCTGCTCTCTGATTGGTTGTTCTCAGTTTTGGCCATGCACGAGAACGTCTTGAAGTGCCCAACACCAGGCTGCACTGGTCAGGGTCATGTCAACAGCAACCGAAACACACATCGCAGGTACGGAGTCTCCTTTTTCGGGATGGTTTTCCTTTTGGTGACCACATGGTAGATCCCCAAATGTACTTTCTTGGTACATTTGGTCCACATAATGACAAAAAAGGTTACAAAAGGTGGTTATTGTAGCGAAGCAATAGAAGAACCATTTTGGATTCCCTAAAGAACCTTTCGGTGAACCATTTTCCACTATAAAAAAATGGAAATGTTTCATGAATGTTAAAGGTTCTTCATGGAACCATCAATGCCGATAATGAAGCTCTACTTTAAAAAGTGTAGTGTATTTTCCTCACAAATTCTTTCACGTTTCCTCCTCTATCAGTTTGTCCGGATGTCCCATCGCTGCTGCCGAAAAGCTCTCGAAGACTCACGACAAGCAACACCTGCCCCAGCCCATGGGCGAGCACATCAAGGGCAGCCCAAACTCTGACCGTGTTCTCAGGTGAGGCCTAAACCCCAACGAAACAAACCCAGGAACTGAAAACATCAGCGTTTATTCCTGTTCTTCCCAGCAACAGCAAACTTGCCCCGTGTTCGGTCTCCTCCTGTCCTTCAGCTTCCATGTCAGCAGTATGTGTCCGTCAAACGTACCTGCTGTGGTTGGTTAGCACAGCTGTCAGTCACCGCAGGACTGAACTCACTTACCACAGCACGATTGGTCAGGCGTTTCGGAATGTCAGTCCTCCCGTTCCTTTGCCCTTCTATTAGAGCACAGCCTGCCATTTCATGCTGGGATCGGGCCTCAAACCTGCTAGTCTAATTACGCCACTGATAAGCTAATTATGGGACTTACAGGGCATGGAGTATTGGAAAAATAATTACTTTCCTTCAG